TATAACTGATATAAACATATTACGATTAAGGTCCCAAGAAACTTTCCCGTGTCGAGTTTCTACCTTGCTTCAGCCTATACAGAGCCTCGACATCAAGCAGCATAGGATATAACAAAGAATTAAACCCAAAAACAATTTTTTAAATTCTTTTCCAATTACATTTTCGATCATTTTTAATAAAATAATCAATATCGATTATTAATATAACCGATATAAACATATTGCGATTAAGGTCCCAAGAAACTATCGAGTTTCCACCTTGCTCCAGCCTATACAGAGCCTCGACATCAAGCAGCATAGGATATAACAAAGAATTAAACCCAAAAACAATTTTTTAAATTCTTTTCCAATTACATTTTCGATCATTTTTAATAAAATAATCAATATCGATTATTAATATAACCGATATAAACATATTGCGATTAAGGTCCCAAGAAACTATCGAGTTTCCACCTTGCTCCAGCCTATACAGAACCTCGACATCAACCAGCATAGGATATAACAAAGAATTAAACCCAAAAACAATTTTCTAAATTCCTTTGCAATGAAATTCGACCGTTTATAACGTTTTATAAATTTATTTTGAGAGCTTTCTCGTAATGCGAAAAATAAGACGCCATTGCATACGCAATGATATATCGTCGGTCGGCACTAAAAGGGTTAAAGAGAGTATAATTCGCTTCTTTCGCGGTCCCCTTAACATTTACATTGTAACGTAGTCGCGAAACCTTAAATTCTGCCAATTAAACGAATATCTAAAATCTCGAACGAACGGCTAATTGAAATAGATAGCTCTCGTCCGCCTTGATGGCCTTCCGATCGGAATCGAATAATTTCTGGATCACCGTTAACCTTAATTCCCCTTAATTCGCGATGCACCGTGCTTCCCCAGCTGAATTTCTTCCAACAAACGTCCGTTTCGGACGATTTAAATAAATTTCACATTCGCCATTTACGACCCCGAAACGTTTCGTATCCGAGCGATTTATATAAATCTGAAAAATCAAATAAATCGTGCCAGCGATTCGTATTTTATTTCAATTCGCGTTATATTGCTCTGTTCCGCTGCCAAAGCGCGATTTTTAAAATTACGATTCCGGGAGGAGGCTCGCGTTTATTCGCGACACGAAATGCCTCGTGTAATCGTTGTCTTGGTATTTAAATTGCTCGTGGGATTATAATTGCACGCGTTATTACGCGTGCATTGTGATCGAATGCGGGCAAAAATTTGATTTTAATACGCAGGATGATTCGCGCAACTGGGACAAGTCGTGTCATTTTTCCGATTGCATTTAGAAAAAAAATGTTACAGCGAAATGATAAATGGTTCGCAGGAGACTACATTTTCAGGACCGTGTTTGTACGCAAGTGCAACGATGTATGTGCATTTTGCAGTTACATCATTGTTTTTCGAAACGGAAACATATTTTTCTTTTCTACTTTTTTTCACCCCCACCCACGTACGGAATAAATCCTCGTGTCAGCCTGCGTGAAAAAGTGCCGGGATGAAATAGATATTTCGTATGATTTTTCGAATTAATTATTTCTGCATTAAAAAAGAGATGAAAGGAAGGACGAAATTAGTACACGTGGAAATCGCGTTATCCTATTATCTCGTTACGCGAGATAACGAAATCTATTTTATAGAGGGAAAAGTGTGATATATGCCCCCATTAAAAAAATAGCATGTAGCTGTAAAATGCACATGCACGGTTGTATCCGCGAAAAAATATAATCCTGGAAATGTAGTTCCCTTTGAGCCATTCATCTTTTACCTGAAACATTTTTATCCAACTACGATCAGAGGAGAGATATGACCCGTTTCAGCCACGTGAATCACCCTGCGCATCATAATTAAATCGTGGTATATCACTAGCAAAGACGCAACTTTGATAAAGATATACCATTATGAAATTTATTACTGCAAAAATTACCATGTTTATTACTATTTCATTGCTGCCTTTAGCATTATTTATTACTTCATTATTAACCTCTGTTACGACGAAAATTACACCGTTCGCTTTACTAGTTACTAAAATTAAACGTAACGGTAACTAGTTACTAGAATCGTCTATAATAATCCCTAGCTACCAATTACTAAATAATCAACACTTATCGCTGTTTCATTATCCCGTTACTTTTATCGTTGTTCGCAGCCCCGATTCGCATATTTACCACGATCGAAAATGAAATTTAGTTTCCCCTCGCACAAATTTCGTCGTCTCGATTAAGAAACGAGGTTCGGAACCTAACCTCTCTCCGTACACACGGGTTCCGACGAGAGACACGAAGAAACGGTGATCCCCGGGCAAATTAAATAACTCACGAGTGTCTCGCGTGTCGCATCAATTTGCGTCGTGTTATTATTCCAAAGGAACGATCGACTTCCGAACAACAACGTTACAAGTTCACGGGCCATTAAGCGGGCGAATGAATTTTACGTATACAAAGCGCGTCGTATCGCGCCGGTATACACGAGCCGGAGTTTTACCCATCCCGGCAACCTAGTTCGAAGTTAGCCCCTCCCCGTCTCTCCCTGCTTAATGACTTTTCTTTTGATGCGGCAAGAAAATGGAGCGTGTCGAGGATTATCACCCTCGTTCCGCCAAAAATTCCGCCTAATGACTCGCGCGGCCGCCTGCCGCCGGCGACCGTGGCGCCGCCGTGCAGCCGCCGCGCGTACCGTCTCGTTTAGAACGCGTTCAGCGACGCCGTGGTGGGAACGGCTCGGGATCGCGTATAAATTGAGACCGCTACGCAGAAAAATTAGAACGATCCGCGGCACACGCGGAAGAGACGTGGAACGCGGTCACAGAGCCTAATGATTCCTTCAATTTGGTAAATTGAGCGGGCTGCGATTTTCTGATTTATCGTGTGTACATACGTACGTTGAGCAAACGACTCCGAACGATGAAAGAAACGCGTGTAAAAGGCGAAGCGACCATTTTCATCGTAATTGGATTTCGTCGTTTATTTTTGCGCTTTTTACCGCGCGAATTAAATCGACGAAATAGAAATTTATATTATCGCAATGGCGAATTTGATCGGTCCAACGATCTACACACGTGCGCCGGACCTGGCCATGATTAATGCACCCTACGAAATTCTCTTTCCACTCCGTATCCAGCTCGATTCACCCGATTTATGGTGGTATTCTGCTTACGTTGAAAAGGTGTTCTGACTTTGGCAAAACGTTACAGAGATATCGATTTCTTTCGATTGACATGGCGCCGATGGAAAAACGATGTGGTAACTAGAACAGGTTAATGGAACAGAAATAGCGTTGCAAGAGATCTATGAGAGTTCTCTGGATCAGATTTTTCCGTGTACCTCGTCTTCTTCGAGAGCTCTTTGTATGCATATTTAAATATGTATGAGAGCGGTATTTAAATTGTCCGATATTTGATAAAATATTGAAAGAAATATGGAACGTACTGTTCTCCACGAAACTTACGTTCTTCGATCTCTGAACTAATTGCAATGCCCTATAACTGATAGTACGTGAAAAAAGAAATAAAAAATACAGAATAAATTTTTTTTATACGAGGCTTCGTTTTCGAGAAAAGTGTGTCATTAAAATATCCGTTGGGTACTCGTCGCGTTCGTTTATCTAGAAAAATTGTAGACTGATTAAACGAGTAATTGCATAAACATCGATTAAATTAAATAGGAAGATTGATTTAACGTTTGATAAAATGAAGCTGTTACACGCGCCAGACATTGTACGGAGAAATTTAATGCGAAAAGCAAAATTGGGTATTGAACGGCATGGGGGATTTTGTTTAACAACTTTTCGAGTAATAAAATTAATTACCAGTATACCGGTAAATTTCATTATCCGGTGTAGCAAATACAGGCACAAGTGAATACAAGCAAGTTAAATCGAGACATAGTTAAATGCACCAACACCACTGAATATTTAAAGTCAATTTTCTCTGGAACGAAGCCTCGTGTACAAAAATTAAATTCTACGCGTTTAACTTATTTTTTAGCCTAGAATAACGTGAACACCATTTGCGAATACTGTAATAAATAATTAGAGAATATTGACCCCTTGCACTATGATTGAATTACGAGAAACTGTGCATTTCAAAATTATCTCGTTTTAGTTACCCACTGTATGCCTGTTCTTATTCGCAATAAAATTGTACAAATCTTTAGGATTTATACATATTTCACAGGTGTGTAAATACATTAAATATAATAAAACCAAGAATGTCAAAACTTTTGAAATTATTGGAAACATGCAGTTCCTTTTCGCAACATTCATATTGGTCCTTCTTCAGATACCAGCATTATTATTTATACTTATTTATATACATTACATTACTCTAATTAACACTAGATTTACGGAACCCTTGAATTTGACGGGAGGGTTGCTCCAATTATACGATGGTAACAGATTTAGTTAACTTATATTAAGACTGTTAATATAATATATAATTATTTTTAAATTAAACTAATCGTTAAAAAGAAAAGCACGTGGTTTCCTTTACCTGTCAATTTGACAAGTGTCCTTAGAAATAGGTATACAGATAGCGTCCATAAACCTACTTAGTGTTAACATCGTGTATCATATTTATATACACACTACGGTTCAATACTTGTAGTGTGAATATGAAAAATTTACACCGAGTTAGTCTCCTTATTAACCCTTTGCACTCGACAATTTTTTGGCCAGAGAAGAGTGGAAAATCAAAGATTCTTTATTAAAAAACTGACGATACTTTTTTGAGCAGTAAATAAAGAATTGTATCATAATAGAATTGTAGAATTATTTGATTTCGACACCTCGCACACTGTTACATTACATTAAATTTGATATATTAATTAATATCGATCTTCCAAATTTGATGAAATGGTGACTGAGGGTCACCTCTCGAGTGTAAAGGGTTAACATATGGGTGTAATAAATAGCATACCAAATATAACATAATACCGAATAATAAATATAAAGCAATAGTACAATACAATTCAATGACACACAGGTATTGCGCAAATTCGGAAAGACAAGTAAGCGATATAACAAAAATAAAACGCAATCGTTCGACCCGTGATAAAGCAAAAGGCATTTCTTATCCCTCCTTTCATCCCAACTCCAGTCGACCCGCCATATCTCTCCATCGTCCCATCGCGGGAGGAAAGCTCGGTGAAAAACCTTGTTATCGTGGCACCTAGCCGAAAACCTAGTCGATCCCAGGAAATCGAGATCGGTACGTATACACCATCGGGAGTAAGCTCGATATACCGTTTCGCAACGCGAGAACACGCGGCACGTGTAGCTCGTAGCCATCGCTGCGGGGTGTAGCCTGGACCACCCCGTGGTTAGCCAAGAGCTGGTATGAGTTTGGCTCATCTTCAGTTCAGTTTCGGAGCCGCCGAGGCTGGAACGAGATGAGTTGGAAACGGAAAGGGTGCGGAGGGGTGTAGGGATCCTGTAAATTGAATGACTTGCCCCGTTATATGTTGCCCGCCGGTTTTCTTTGCTTTATACCATCCTCAGAAATTGGCCGGGGCCCCGCGCAGATTCCATTATAGACAAGAAGTCAGCGCGCAGCCTAGCCAGCTCGTTCGATGCCATTTCCGTATGTATTATGCATACCCGGACAAATTTCGTTATCCGGGGCCAGATAAGAAAACGCCGCCGTTTATTATTTATTTTCCCTTTATAGGTAAACGGGAAATCTGCGATCAGCGCGCGACTTCCGACGTCGAGTGAATATTTCAAGGAACCCAGTGACAGCGTGGGCTCGTGATGGCGATCGGGATGGGGAGTGGGCGGTGGCGTAACGCGAAAACGGGATTATTCGACGTATTCCGGCTTTTGATTATGCGAAAAGCCATTACCCGGCTGGATCGTCGGTCTGCGTCCTTAATGCATCGATTGAAAATTGAAAATGGGACCCTTTGTCCCGCGGGCTTATGGCACTTTTAGCGTTTCTGCTCGTACAGATGCGTACAGGGTGTCCCATTTAAATTTAAGCGACGAAGAACTCGTAGACAAATGATTCATACGTAGAGCGTAGATTCGAGTGGCGCTCTTGGTCCTTCGATGCAAAATGGCGGCTCAGAAGACAGTCCTGTAAAAGAATCTTCCGGTTAAAATAGTGCACTGTTTTGTATAAAAATAAAATTAAGAAATAGGATATAGGTTGATGATTAAAAAATAAGTAAGTTAAGTGCTTTTTGAATTCTGGATACTGAATGACACGTGAGAATTGGTTTTCTTTAAATCAACTGTCCACATTTTTCTCTGTCAATATAAATGGGACACCCTATATATCGGGACGCTAAATCGATCGCTATTTAAGCTCGATTTAGATGAATGATCGACGAACACGAGGTTTTATGTGAAATTTTAACGTCGGTAATTAAACACGGGACCGTGGAAAGGGGCTTTGACGCGAAAAATGGTAAATTTCCGTTGTATTTGGGGACCACAGGGAGCCAGCGTGTTAAGTCGCGGTTTTTCGTGTTTTACAGGGGTGTAGTTTTAATATTCCACGCGTGGTCACTGATCCTGTATTATCGGCGCGCTCTTTTTATTTGGTTTTTCAGGTCTGAACACGCCTAGGCGTTGAAAATGTTTATCCCTCGATTTACGGCGGAATTTCCGGCAAATATGTTACACGCGTGTAAGCGATAGATATGTGCGAGATACGTGCATTTGCCTGAATATTTAAAGTGAACAGGTTCTCCTCCGTTTCGACTGTGTCACGTGAAGATCAGAGCTAAATGTTCCTGCGATAAATTATTCCGACGTTTATATTTTCGGAATGGAATGAAAAGAGATAGCGATGGGCTCTAAATTGACCTCGACGCGTGAGCCGATCGCGCCATTGTTCGGCCATTTTAGTGGCCGCCGCGACAACCAGTTTTACGATTTTAGAATACCGTATTCCCCTCTAACCAACGTGGAAAGTGTAACACAAACACGAAAAATCGACAGAAATGCGTTTATCGTATTTTTCTCGTATATGGAAACGAAATTTAAGACCTGTCGTTATATCTTGGGATAGAACCGGTGTATTAATTTATTAACCAGTTGTTTATTGTTCCTAGTAATCGGGGATATTTATAAGACAGGGATAAAATCGTGTGCTTATTCGAAAAACAAAATTGTAAACTGTGAAAAATAACTTCCACTACAGGAAAACATTACTGCGATTTTATAACGCTTCATAAAATCGACGAAGAATGCACAATCTGACACATGCACGCTATATTAACGACGGAATAGGGTCAATCGTTGAATTTTTCATTTAAGCATGAAATAATCACCTAAGAGATTTTCATTTATATATCGAAATCCGGGAATACATAAAATATAATTTTTCGAAACGTTCATAAAATTTGGAAATCGTTATTTGGAAAATAAGAGCATTCGACAATGCTTATTAATGATAGTTTAAATTAAAACTGCTAATTTATTTATTAATAATATATTTTTGCATCCAAAGTGCTAATATTGCAACTACCCAAATCTTCATCAGTTTCTGCCGGTGACTATGCGACTGGCCTAAGTCATATATGCTTCTTTTGGAAATATTGTAAGTTTCGTGTTTCGTGTACATTATAAATTAGCGAAATTAATCACGATAAGGTGATTATCGACTTAACGGTTCAATCTTTTGGTATGTTGCCAGGGATAGCTATATTTTATTCTGAAGGAATAGCAAGGGTAAGGAAAGAATGCAACCAAAAATAAACGATAAGGCCGTTTGTTTTTAACACTGTGCCGTCCATTGGCACCACGTTGGTATCGTACACAAATGATGTGTCAGTTCTACCAACACAAACGAAAGAATCCCGATTAGACGTGCGAACGGCATAATGTTAACACTTTAACCACTTGCGATGGAAAGACGTGTCACGCACGTCGTAATGCTTTGGTCACAGAATCGCCAACGACGTGGTATACACGTCGTAATGCTTTTGTCACAGAATCGCCAACGACGTGGTATACACGTCGTTAGGCATCTATTACAGAAACACTGGACCGTCCTGACACGCGTCTGTGAATTTCTTGCCACCGCAAGTGGTTAAACGCTACGCCGGTATTACGTGCCGTGCCGTTCACGTCGCAGTTAGCCATTACGCGGGCCCATCTGGGCCTTATGGCCCAGCGAGGCCTGAACGGAAAGTCTAGCGCCAATTCCTAGGCACCGGCGTGACGTTTAGCGTGTTAATCCTTGACTTAGACCACTTTCATAATAATCACTGCCACGTTTGCCCACCTCGAAGAGAAAAACGAAAAAGAAAGAACGAATACGTTTTTCTCACGAAATTCTTTCTAATTAGTCCCTCTGCCCCTTATATATTTCGTTATCTTCCATTTTTGTTACATTTATTCCGCGTTATCGCTAAATAAAATCCTATATTCGCTTCTATGAGGGAAGAATTTCTCGCGGGTTTCCCCTCGATGATTTTATTAGCGGGGAACGTTAACAAGGGGTTTAATTACAGTGACCCCTCTGCTCGCGTTATTTGTCAAAGATAAGACCTTCCTCCGGCGAGTTTTGCAAAAAGACCAGACCGTTAACGTAGCGAGGCCTGAGTGGCGAAACTTGGCTGTTACAGTTGTCGAGTTCGCATGATACAACTCGGTGTAACTTCGGGCAAACATCAGATTGCTTAGAATAGCTTATAAAACTTGGCGCCACGATGGAGACGTACGGTAGTTTTGGCAAATTTACGCGGTCCGACAACATTTCGGGATTCCCCTGCGTCCGACGAGATAATTCCCAGCCACTGCTCGCGCAATTAAAAAAAGAAGCAATTTTATTTTTCCACCGGACGAAACTTTACACCTAACTGGGAAATTTTTTAAAAGCTTCTGGAAAGAAAAGTTTTTATACTGATCGTATAGCGACTGTGCTCAACAATGGTTTGCGAGTGCCAAACCGGGCGAAATGGTTTCAGATTTTTTATTTCTTTCACCACTGCAAGCGGAGAGTTATTTTTGGCAAAATTAATTTTGACTTTCGCCTAGGTAAGGATGAAATTATGTATTTTTGCCTACTCAGTCTCGTTGAATCCTTCTGATTATTGCTCCTACACACTTTATTTAGCGAAATTGATCTTGACGTTTAAATTATTTCAGTATGTGCACACTGATCGGAAGTTTTAATATTAAAATATATTTTGTACAATATATCTGTGAAATTTGAACCAGTGCTATGATCTTTGTATCACGTACCTCTTGCTTTTTAATATAATAACATTACTTTGTTAGTATAATAATATTTCTCTAGTAGATATTAAATTAATGATACTTCTTTTTCATTTTAACGAACGGTAAAATTTCCTTGACTTATTTAAAATAGTACTCTTTGTTTTACATTTCGCGATGTTTTAGCTCATGCGAGTACGAGTTCAACGACCTCCTATACCACGAGTTTGAAATTCAAATGTCTTTGAAGTCAGGAATGTAAAATCAATGTACCGAAATGTTTCCGCGGAAAATAATTTCGCTTACGGGAATTAAATTTTACATGTCCGAAAGTGACATGTGCATTTATTATCGAATTAGAATATAACCGAATAAATAAAACGACGAAGAAGTATTCCAATTGCAAATCACTAGTTCTAGTACCACTCTAGTATTCACTGCCTCTGTGACTAGCAACCTAACCTTAAAAACTACGTGCTAATACAACGGTTAAACATTTCGCATTGCAGATCAGTAGTTCTAATATCTAGTATCAAGTATCTGCTACCTCCGTGACAAACCTAACCTTCAAAAATACGTACGAATGCAACGATTAAATATTTCACATTATAGGTTAATAATTCTAGTACCACTCTAGTATTTACTGCCTCTGTGACTAGCAACCTAACCTTAAAAACTACGTGCTGATATAACGGTTAAACATTTCGCATTGCAGACCAGTAGTTCTAATATCTAGTATCAAGTATCTGCTACCTCCGTGACAAACCTAACCTTCAAAAATACGTACGAACGCGGCGATTAAATATTTCACATTATAGATCAATAATTCTAGTACCAGTCTAGTATCTACTACGTCTATAACAAAGCCAACCCTCTAAAATACGTGTATACAAACACGACAGATGAATATTCCGCATTACAAATCAATAGTTCCAACACACCAATCTAGCATCTACTAGCTCCACGGCGAACCTAACCTATCGAAACACGTAGAAATCAAACAAAATCGGGGGATCCCTTTTCAGTCTGAGATTAAACGAAGAAAAAGGTGAAATTAATTCGAAAGCAGATTCGCCTGCCGCGATAGGGGATGAAACATAGCGTAGCAAGAACGGAATATCGGGCTAATCGAAGTTCTCGATAAAGCGCGGCAAGAAGACACTCATCCAGCCGCCGAAAGCCATGTAATACGGACCTAATTTCACGGAAGCGTCCAACACAAATATTTCCCCTGGCGAAAGATCGTTTCGGCTAATACAGCAGCCCTTCACCCTTATCGTTCTCCGCTCGTAGACAAGTGTTGTTTATCAGGCTGATGTCACTTATAGCGATGGCCAGAAAGCCCGAATTTCGAGGTAATCACGCTCCCCTTGATCCCGGCTTCGCGAGGACCCACGCCGTGGGTTTCACCCTCGTCTTCACGACTTTCGTCGTCTTCCACCGCCATCTTCATCCCCTTACCCCGCGAAAAATCCGCTGTCTGGTCCAGCTTCGTCCCGATAACCGTGGGACGGGGAAAAATAGAGAAGAATCGAAAAAAAAAAAAAATAAATAAACGAGAAAGAGGGAGAGATATAGGGGAAAGAGAGAGAGAGAAAGAGAGAGAAGAGCAGCGACCGATTTCCCGGAGAAAATAACGCTCGACCTGCCATACGGGATATTACATGCTGCGGATGTTAACATCTCTCTCTCTCTTTCTCTTCCCCTCTCTTGCTCTCTTCTTTCTCGCTCTTCTTTTTTTCCTCTCTTCTTTTTGTAGTCTTTTTTTCACCACGAGGTCGCGGGTCCTGGGAGAGGGCAGAGAGGAGACAGAGAGAACGAGGGACATATAGCTCTGTCAGATAGCGGGATGCTGTAAATCTGTGCATTATACATGACAGCGAGATCAGCGCCATTTGTTATTCCTGGATGGCTGAGTGGTGGGACGGCCGGGCGGGGTGCAGAAATGGGGACGTGAAAAATTACTGGCACGGCCAGCACTTACCGAAACGAGCCTTTTCGGACGGCATCCGGTCGCTGGAACACTTGCCAGGAGACTAGTTTACGGAATTGAAATTATCGACGACACACGGGACACGCGTTAATGTTTCGTCCAGCCGACGTCGATCCGGAATGGCCCCTTTGTGAGACGCGATTCCCTTTGTACGGGGCAACCCTCGGAACGCCGAGTGGAACGGAGTGTTTGAAGCTCGGCGATTGCGGTGGATCTTCGTGGGGGCCTCCTTTCTCTCTTTTATTTATTCAATGGGTCGGAGCCGAGAGGCTGATCGTTCCGACGTAAACGGCGAATCCGACTCGGCGTCAATGGATTTCTTCGGGACGTTTCCAAGATCTTATGGCGGCGTTCCGGGAGTGGTTCACGTGCTTGGGATTTGGTAATGGTAATTCCTGGCAATTCCGGTAACGGGTTTAGACGATATTAACCCTTGGTACTCCGGGGACCACGTGGTAAAATTCGGAGGATTTTGTCGTCAGTGTACAACTGTGCATCTATGAATGATGCAATGATACTTGGAATACTGAAACAAAATATAATAAATAAGTAGAATCTGATTTATGTAGATTGCAAAACGTAATTTCTATCTCAAAAATATGGAAAAGGTGTTGATAAAGGTTTCAGTAGTACAGAAGCATGAACTATATGCTCAAGAGGTACGCGACTTCAAGATAGTTCGACGCTATCGTCGTGCGCGCCAAATTCAAATCATCCGTTAAATGGCGTCATGATTGTTACGGAATTATTTATGATTATTGAGCAAATACAGAGCTTCATCTGACAAATTTTTAAATATTAACTGGTGGTATTATTAAAAATAAAATGACAGGCATCGAATTTCCCGTTATTGCAATTATTATTATTATTATACGAGGGTTTCGAATAGAATTATATATTTATTTACTTTCATCGTGTTTCATTTTGCTCATGATTATTTCTGCGAGGTATATTTGGGTATACGTTACAGCTTGATGATCCCAATGTTGAATGCATAATATAAATTGTCCAAATAATTTTATTTTTTAATGAGGTATATATTATGCACGCGTATTGCAGTACGTTCTATTGAAATAAACACGCAGATGTTGTGGTTAGGAGATATAATATTCTCGTGACAATAATGTGTCGAAACATTAATATATGTTAATTAAATATTGTTTCCATCCCAGTCAATTTTATTTTTATTGATATTTGATTTTATCGCTCCGTTACCACTGCTACTTAATTTACGATTCATCATAGTTTAAAAATACCCACAGCTTTGTACCTTGAAGAGGTAATAGAAGACGACTCAGAAAATATTCATGGAATCAATGAAACGACTCTAGCGACTTTACGCTGGAATAATTTTCAAACTTTCAGGTTTCTCCTATAATATAATCGAAGAGAGACTTTTCGTACATTGGAATAGAAATCATTTAGCTTACCATAAAAATACGATTTATTATTCCAAAACGAAGTGAGCTTTATAAAATAAAATAAATTCCTTCGTATTTTCTTAAAGACGTTTGAAATAAAACTAGGCACCGGGTAAATAAAAATTGCGATAAACCCGTATGATTTAGAAAATTCCTTAATACGTCAGAATGTCGACCAAGATGAAATGAGCTAAGATAAAAGCGAAACGACGCGGTATCAGGTCGATCCATAAGTCTCTGTATATTCTATCCATAACAAAGCGGCATCGAGTACTCGCCATTATTTCGTACGATTCGCACAATGGAATTTGGCACGGGGAATGGAGATTTGGCACAATTGGCACGACGAATGCCAAAAAAAAAAGCACAATGCGCGCGAACTTACGAACTGACCCGATATTTCATCCCGCGGAAGAAGACCCTACAGAATTCCCGTATTCCGGCTGACGCTGGCCATAATGAAAATAAAGATATACGAGCAAACGTTTATTAATTTAATTAAACGCGCCATCAGTTTCAGATTATCATTACCCTCCATCGTTCACCGTGCTCGATCGGCTCGTCGAAAGTAAATATTCAATAAACCCCGCATAATATCCCGTAGTTAACCCGTTTCGCGACTATTTATCATTCGCAAGCGCTCTTAATGAAATTAAAAGCGTTCCGTCTAGCAAAATCCCTATTAAAACCGCTCGCTGACTCTATTAACCCACCCCGACGTCCGCTAATCGCCATTATTTTCCAGCCCCGGAACTTACATCGATAAGTTCGCGAAGTCGCCGCCGCGTCGCCACCGCGAGCCGCCATTTTAACACTGTCCGCAACTACCCTTCAAACCGCGCGTTCTCGCCGTGCCGATGAAACCGTTCGATCGCTGTAAAGCCGCTCCGAAAGAGAAGAAAACAGGAAACGGGGAGAGAAAGAGGCGAAAGAGAGAGAGAGAAGGAAGGAAAACAAAGAGAAAGAAAGGAACTCGACAAGCTGTTCCGGCAAATTTCACGTACAGTTATTTCCACGATTATTCCCGATGATGTACTCGAACGAGCAACTTTCTGGCGTTAGCACGCGCGTTCGGGCACAAGCGGCGAGATAATAAAAACGACCGGTCGAATAAACTTTTTATCGGCTTGTTAATTTTCGAGGCGGCCGCTGCAACGGAGCGCACGCGATTCGCTTTTCAAACTATTCCCCCCACCACGCTTATCATTGTTCCTTTCGCGCCGTTCCCCCACCCTCTCGCCAGCCGACCGCCGTCTATCGAGGACTAATGTTATTTATTCTGGAAAGCATGGGGAAAAAGTTGACACACATACGCGTCCCGTTCCACATGCACTTACACGTACGCCGCGTCGTGTGTACAGCACTGGACGCATCGGTGGGCGGACGGGTAAAATCTGAACACGAATTGAACGCGCAGGTGTCCGTAAATAAACTCGTTGCATCGAGTTTGTTGCGGCGAACCGTTGGAACGTGAAGGGTGGTTACGCTTTCGCGGCTTCCTCGCCGAGCTACAAAGCCTCGGCCCCGTGGACCAGGCGTTTTTATTTCGCGAAACTGTTTTGGTCCCGCGCCTCCGGGACCGTGGAATATCGTTTACGTAATTACAACGCCGGCCAGCCGGTCGCAGAGGGCGCCACTTGCTACCCGGCTATGGCGTTGCCCGCGCGATAACGGCAAGGCAGCGAGGCTATTTTTAAGTCCACGGGACTTATGCACGGCCGTTAAAGATTATAGGTTTTCTATTCGATATCAAAGCGGTGGCTCTCGTCGCGTCGCACGGAGACCGCTAACGCAACGGGGGTGGAACGGAAGTAAACGGACTACGACTGAAACATAAGCAATCGTGGGAAAACGTCTTTATCCGGCGCGGAGGGAAAGTATAGGAAAACGGTCGACCGCGGCCATAGAAAGTTGAGTGGTCGCGTAACTCGAAACTTTCGCGGACTTAGGTCTGAGTTCCGTGGCTGTTCTCTAGTCCGTCTGTATATAGATGTCTGTACGCCTATGTATACGTTGAGTTGGCCTTCTGGCATTGGACCAATGACATGTTGTTCGATTCATTTTATAAAGGGAGACAGGCCAGCCAGTTTCTACGTGGACTGTTTCCAATAGGCGAGATTCGATCGTCGATGGGAAAAAAGGAAAGAGGAATAAGATGATTCGATGTTTAGCATATTGAGGATGCTCGACGTGCTTGGAATGGATAAAATGGCGGTGGCGTTGGTTATAAACAGCTTAGTACTTGGAATACTTTTTTTTTCACCTTTTTTTTTTTCCTTTTTTCTTATAGGCGGTTACTTAGGGCATGCGAGTATGCGAACGATCTGTTATCTCGTTGAGGTTGACGTAGCGCAAGGAAATGCGGAAAATGGCAAGGAAGATGTGAGATTTATAAACGGAAGCGTATGTGTACTTAATATATAATTTAATAACTCTATAAACGTACATACCGTGATATTGATTCGCTGATGGTAATCAATATTAAGATACCGTTGTGCCGATCCCATTTCCCTTCGTTACGTTACGGTACTGTTTTATTACAGTACCATGGCTGCGTTTACGTTCCCCGGGCATAAGCCGGATTTCTATTACTTTCCTTGCAACTTCTTCCTGTAATTTGTGAACCGTAATCTCGAGTAATTTGAATCAACAGGGAAACGAAGCACGATCTCTTCACCTTACAAAGGAGCACGATTCTCCCGTCTATCTAATAGCAGGAAAATTTGTTACGTTTTAAAGGCTAATTCGAAATATACTAAAAAAGAATCAACGAATATACGTAATACTTGAATTATTTATAATATTATTATCCTTCTATTATTATAAATTATTTGACAATGTACAGACAGGGTTTCCATGTTATGACTAGTCAAATATTTTCTCACAAACACAATAATTTTTGAAAAAATCGGTGACTAATAACAGCATGGACACTCTGTGTAATTGTACTTAACATTTAACTTCCTTCTGATATTAAATAATAATTAATATATTATATAACAACATAACGTAAAAATATAGAAATATAGTAATTTAATAGTGCAATTTTTTCCATCTGTCTAAAGCTGTTCTTTATAGCGAATTTGCAAAATTCTCATTTACATTGCATAATATACAATGTCATCGACTGTTTCGTATACGCGACATACGAGGTTAATTTACATATTTTTAATGAAACAATATTAAATACGAAAGAAAGAATCGAACAAAATCCCTGACACCATCGATTCGCGAGATTTTTGTCATTTTTCGTGTTTCGAAATATCCTTCTCCAATTTTATTTCCACGCATTTTAACGCGTCCTGCATCCCCGTGTTTAGCGACAATCGCTAATTAAGCCCTAATTGTCTTATAACCTGCACGCGCGTATAATCTACCTTATCATTTGCGAAAGATATTCTACTTTTATATCCTCTCAAATATTCATCCCGAGATTGGTAGTTACGTCACGGTCTACAAGCTGCAACATAATATGCGAGATTCATTTGGAAACCGTATCCAGTCCTTAAAAACTATCATTTTTGCTTGCTGGTAACTCGCGTTCGCTTATCTGCAGCACCAGGTGCCCCAAATGACCACCATGTATTTTAACAAGCCTTATCCTTTTAACATATCCAGCTGCTGCTCGAATTTGCTGAAAACGTGGCTTAATTCGTCTGGAGTATCTTTTGATCGTTAATGATACCTGCCAGGAGATAATTAGTTTAATATAAGGCATCGAGCTTCGTGGAATTATTTCGGAGAGAATAACCGGGATATACAGAATTCTCGAAATTTGTAACGATAAAATCTCATTTCATCTTTTATCTACTCGTTCGCTCGGAACCTCCTCTAAGAGGCTTTTACGAAATACTTATTAAGTTTTATTTCAGCTCATTAATTAGTTGAAAATATAGTCCTCTTAGCGGATGCTTAAGGAAATTGGGTGGAAATTATTGAATGGGAAGTCCAACGAGTTGGGTTGCTTCTCTGGGAACCCTGAAAGAAAAATAATGGCTCCTTTCGAATTTACGATGTCTAACGTGATTACAAGTTCGGGGGGAGTTTTACGTCCCCGTATTTGCCAGCAGACAATAGCAATGCCGGTGGACACTCGCTTCAATTGCATACAAACATGTTAGGAGTCGATCGAGCCAGAGATATTTCGGAGCGAAAGCTTTTTCTCCTTTTACCGGCGATCTCGCGTTACCGCAATTATGCAAATCGGTGTTCTTTAATTAGCAGTTTAAGCGAACTTACTTTGCCGAACGCTGGAAATTTATTCTTAAAATGGCTTCCACGTATTAGCCTATTTGTAGTCAAAGGACTACAAATTGTAGGAATACGTATAGAACAATGAAAGTTTAGAAAATTTCACCATTTACTTACTACGATTTGCATAATCCTTGCTTTCTAAGAAATGCTACATCTATAGAATTTCATTGGAAATTAAAGTTTTTCGTGAAATACTAAACTATTAAAACCCATTAAAGCCTTTTAATTAACAAATTTACCTAAATTTAATTATACGTATAAACGTTAAATTTTAGCAGTTGTTAAGACCTCGAAAAGTAATTGCCAGCGTAGAACATCGAACTCGCGTTGATCTAAGTAGCATTAGAGGTTAACGAAAAATGAAACTTGTATTAGAAGTTTGATTACGTATTCCGCAAACTTTCAGAGTAGTACGTACAGAATGCTAACAAAACCCGTTCTGTTGTACCGTTACAGGGCAGTTCCAGTCAAGGAGGAGTTCATATGGAATGGCATCACGTGGACCCTCGGCGACGACGCTGCCAATCGCGATAGCGATGGCCGTCGCGATGTCAGTGATGGCGAGCGGTCTCTGTCCGTCGCAATGTCACTGCGACGACGAGAGCTTGCGCGCGTCCTGCGCTTACGCGAGCCTCGAGGTCGTCCCGATCCAATTGAACCCGGAGATCAAACACTTGGACCTGTCCAACAATCGTGTCGGCAGTATTCACCTGTCGTTCAGCTTCTACGGTAACCTGGAGACGCTCGATCTCACGTCGAACGACATCCACACACTGGGCTCAGACAATTTCGTCTTCCAAAAGAACCTGGCCACGTTGAACGTAAGCGGTAACGCCATCAGAGCCCTGGCGAAGAACTCGTTACAAGGCTTGGACTCGTTGAAAGAACTGAACCTGGCCAGCAACAACATCTCAGACATGGACGAGCAATCCTTCAAAAGCACCAGCGAACTGGAGATCCTGAATCTCAGTGACAACTCGATCACCAGCCTGCCAGACGGTCTGCTGAAGAATCTGCACAAAATCCGTACTCTGATCTTGAACAGGAACTACCTGCTCGAAGTCCCGACCGACAACTTGGCGCTGGCTCCCAGTTTGGAGAACGTGGATCTGTCGGACAATCTCATCCAGGAGCTCGACAGGGACTCGTTGCCGTCGCTACCTTCGTTAGCTTCGTTAGACCTGGCGAACAACGTTATCAGGAATATCGCTGACGACACGTTCGACCGACTACCAGACTTACTACACCTGGACCTGTCCGGTAACAACTTGACATCCGTGCCCACGTCCGCGCTGGCCAGGCTGAACGTCCTATCGAACCTGATCCTCAGTCGCAACCGATTGGGCAACCTGGACGCCGGTGGATTTCGCAATCTGTTCGAGCTGAGGAGTCTAGAGCTGGACGATTGCGCGATCGCCAGCGTTCACGCGCGAGCCTTCGCCGATAACGTGAACCTGGAGCGTATCTCGTTGGATGGAAATCGGGGTCTGAAGGAGCTGCCGGCCAGGGTGCTCTACAGTGCCAGATATCTGAAATGGGTCTCGCTTCGCCGATGCAGCCTGTCGACCCTGCAGCCCACGCAATTTCCCGTGGACGCCCTGTCGTCCCTTCGCGTCGGTGGCAATCCCCTGGTCTGCAATTGCTCCGTGCATTGGCTGTGGAACGTTATCAGAACGGAA